TTGATATGTGTGTGGAAGTGGATGATGCTGGAGTAGGCGGACTGGTGGTTCTCTCAGGTCCTTCGAACCCAGTGACAGAATTTGAACAAGCCGCCACCCTTAGCGTCGTCCAAATCAATATTGTAGAAAGTTTACCGGGAAGAAGTAAAATAGTGTGGTCTGCTAGGTACATGAGGATTGACACAGTGGGCTGCCGGTACAAGCGAGAATGTGAGTAGTTGAGAAAAAGCAGAGAAGGTAGCTATCCGCGCAATTTTGTCAACCGGTGTATGCACACATGAGAAAAATGAAAAAATCCCACTGATTCCACATTTTGGTTGGCGATTCCGTACGTCAAAAACATATTCGAAGCCGTCAGCTGCCTCGGAGATTGGGTCGCACACAGACCGGATGTGACCATTGAGCGCCAGATAATGAAACCAAAAGACCCACTGCCACGATAATAAATTTGTAGAACCGGCTGTCGGATTTGGTGCAGCTGCGGACAAAGTAAGCGTGTCGGGGACAATGGAAGACTTTTCCAGATGCGAAATGTCGAACACGCGGCATCAGTGAAGAGAAACTAGACAGATTCTTAAGTCATGATTCATTCGACGAGACAGATGCGCGAGTCGCGAGTTGCTTGAATCCAGTCTATAAACAAGTGCAATGATATCCTCAACCCATATTTGGCGCTGAGACTCCGTTTGGCCAAAGGGAATTCACCACTCGGGGAACTCACAGACGAACACATCTTCCAACGCCAGTGCCGGTGGGCCCGATGGCTGAGCAATCATCACGCCAAAACCCAGCAGGAGTGATGAAAGTTCCGGATGCCTATTATCAAACAAGTAGCGCACAAGCGGGCAACTATGCTCGATAGAGGGAGGACCCTTAATTGTCATAGGTGTGCAGAAGCATAGCGATTGCATCCTATAAATACTGCAACTCGCTGTATCCAATCTATCCATTTCTGCTACTGTCTATGAGGATGAGTTCGAAAAGGTATCCGAACCTTAGACGAATAAGGTTCTATTCCAGTGATCATGTCTTCTTCTTAAAAATGTGGCCTTCTGCTTCAGCTGCCAGTCTCTTTCGGGTTAAGATAGAGTGGAAGGCGAAAGATTGACTAGACACGTGAAATGCTTCGGAGGGTAGTAGTCACGTCAAAATTTATCTCCAAGTAGATAGCAGTGGGGTAAGGGGCGAAAGCGGGAAATCAGACACAAGAGAAAAGTAGTCGATTTGCTGACTTGCTAGTACTATTATAACTGCTCACCATCTGCTGCGAGAGAAGTCAGAGAAAGTCTGCCGTTGGTTAAGAATATAAACAATTGTCGCCCCCGTTACCATTCAAAGTCGATCAAAACGTAGGATTGCACACATGTACACTAACACGCTAGGGCATTTCCCTTATGATGACTACTTAATATACATGAAATGGCAACAGTAGCTTCTGTAGCGCCACTCATTAATCCCTACAACCTGCATGCTTTCCTACGAAAACTGTGTTTATAGGGTTCTATGGTCGGGAAATTAGGACACGCAGTGGAATATACCTTAATAAATGCTAAATGCATTTTTATTTAACTGTATTTAGAACTGTTGTTAATTTATATCTGTAGATTTTCCTAATTTGTATTATCATTGAACTTATTGCGGAAAAAACCCGATTATCAAACCGCAGGTTTCTTGAATTTACCGAAAAATTTGAATGGTGGTTAGGAGGTCGTCTACTTCAACTTACCTGCGG